TGAGCGCGGGCGGTAGCTGGGACGCGCGGGGGTCACGCGGAAAACAGACGGGGCGCGAAGGGCGCGCAAGTAAGCGGCACGCGGGCGCGCGACACAACACGCGCGAGGGAGTTGGCGAGGGTCGGGGGCGCGCGATAGCGCGCGAGTGTAGCGCAGGCGCGGAAGTCCTAGGCACGGCAGGATTAGGCAAGGGAGCGCTGGGCGTGCACGCTCAAGGAAGAGTCGGCGGACTGGGCGCGCGCGCGAAGGATGCCGCGTGGGGAGTAAGCGCGCGTGTTTCCGCGCGCAACGAGGAGTAGGCAAAGCAGGGGTGGCGCGCAAAGGCGGCTGGGGTGCGCACGCGCGCGACGCGAATGGAAGGCGGCCGAAGTTTTGAGCATATAGGAGCATTCTAGAATTGCTTGGTGTGCAAGCCAAGCATTAGTTATTTGGTAGGTTTAGGATTTTATTGCTTTCTAGTGTTAGGATTTCTATTATTGCAAGATTTAGGAGATCTAGTAGAATTAGGCTTAGATTATTTTGCAACTATAAATACCCCATGTACCTCATCATATTTTACAAGTTGAATGAAGTATTGAATTGGTGAGCCAATCTTGAGGGGGAACTGATGTTCTTAACGTGTGTTTAAACAAGGCTGTTAGTGCGTGTTTACATACAGTGTCGGAGAGAAGGCCGTTAGAGCGTCTTGAAGTCATGGTATCTAGGAGAAGGTCGTAGTGCGTCTGTTAGATACACCTATCGTGGATAAACGAAGGCCCTGAGTGCGCCGTTTATTCACAACCCGAATAGAGTAAAGACACGATCCACTTTTCATCATTGGTGCTTTCATTAAGAGGTGCTGATCGTGTGTTTATCTATCCTATCTTTTTTATTTTTTTTTGGTTTGCCTTTTGCTGAGGGGCCGAATTTCTCTTTATTTTTTGTTGGGATTCGAATTTTGGTTCGAATTTTCCCTTTTATTTTCGTGAGTCTTAAAAAAAAAGTGTCATCTTGTTAGTCCTTTGTTTGATTTTTTCGGTTATTACCTTTTGTTGAGGGGCCGAATTTCTCTTTGTTTTATTTTTATTTTTGGTTCGAATTTTGTTCGAATTTTTAGAGTCAAAAAAAAAAAAGATTTATGATGTCAAACCGTGAGAGGATTCAAGTGTTGGAAGACAACATGAAGATCATCGGGGATAGTCAACATGCTACCAACGAGAACATGGGAAGGATCGAACTAATGGTCCAGGACTTGGCCGGGCAGCTAACGCGCATGAACACACGGCCAAGGAGGCGTCACGGGTCAAGGTCCATGGCGACAAGCACCGGGACCGAGCGCGAGGACGATCGTCGATCGCGGGGCACACGCGCGTCGCGCGCAGATCACCACCACGACGACCGACGACGGTATGAAGGACGCGCACACCACGACCGAAGGCGCGAGGAGGATGACGACTGGAGATCACACGCATCGTACGCGTCGCATGTGACGCATGATGAGCGGAGGCTACACCGCGATGGCCGACGGCGCGACGCACGGCGACACGAGGGATGCCACGATCGTGATGAACAAGTGGACGAGAGGGCAAGTACACGGCCAAAAATAGTCATGCCCATGTTCACGGGGACAGATCCAGACGCATGGTTGAGTCAAGCTGTGCAATTTTTTGAGATCAATGATGTGCCAAGGTACGAAAGAGTGCAAATTGCTGCTTATCATATTGATGGAGAAGCAAACGTATGGTGGCAATGGGTGATGCACAAGAACCATGGCGAGCACATGCGTTGGAGGGATTTCAAAAAAGAGCTCATCACAAGGTTCGGCTCAAGTGACTACCACGATTACAATGAAGCATTGTCGAGAATCAAGCAAGTCGGAAGTCTGAGGGAGTATCAAAAGGAGTTCGAGCGCATTGCTAGTAGAGTGAGGGATTGGCCTGAGAGTGCGCTAGTAGGGACGTTCGTTGGAGGGCTTAAAGCCGAACTAGTAGCCGAGGTGAGGTTGGACAGGCCAGGATCGATGCGAGCAGCTATAGAGTCGGCCAGACTGCACGAAGATCATCTCATGGCAGTACGCAAGGCGAAGCCGAGCGACGTGCG